GTGTCTTAGCCACTATGCTACCAGAGCTCCCCTTATTTATTAAAGGAAGCAAAAATGAACGACTCCATATTCAACTATTCCTATAGTGTCTTCTATGAGTATATGCATCTATGAGTATATACTCATAAAATGAGTGACTAAATTATAAAAGCATTTCTCAATGTCTTTCTTCTTTCCTGGGGAGGAGGCTCTTAAATAAAAACAACCTAAGTCTATAAAATTGCCTAAGGCATTTGACAGCTAACCAGAGGCTGGCGGTTCAAACCCACCAGCCACTTCTCAGAAGGAAGATTGGGCAATCTACTCCCACAGTGATACTGCCTTGAAAGCCCGAGGAGGGGTCGCTATGAGTCGGATCTGACCCAATGGCAGTGAGTTTGGTTTTGGGTTTGGTTTTTATGTGCCTTAAATGCACTTGGGAAAACTTTAAACAGTTACTAATCACTAACATGTATCTTTCAGACACTATTCTTTGCAAGGGGGCACTGGTGCTTCAATGGTGGAATTCTTCCCTTCCACTTGGGAGATCCGGTTTAATTCCAGGCCCATTCAATTCATGTGCAGCCACCACAGATCTGTCAGTGGTGGCTCTGTGTTGCTATGATGCTGAATAGGTTTCAGCAGAGCTTCCAGACGAAAATGGACTAGGTGAAAAGGCCTGGCAATCTATTTCCAAAAATCAGCCAGTGGAAACCCACGGATCACAACTGTCCAATGCTTGACCAGTCATGGGGATAACACAGCACCAGGCAGCATCTTGTTCCATTGTGCTTCCACTTGCCAACAGTCAGGAGCTGGCTAAAAGGCAGCTAACTACACATTCTTTGCAAGTGATACATATTAACTCATTTAGTCCTCAGGATAATCCCAATTTTACAGCAAGAAGATTGAAGCACAGAGAGATTAAGTAACTTGCCCAAGGCCCACAGCGAGAAAGTGGAAGAACTAGAATTTGAATCTCAACAATTTGAATCTTAACTTCTATTTATGTGCCGTTGAGTTGCCCTGACTCGTAGTGACCCCTCCTTGGGTTTCCAAGGCAGTATCACTACGGAAGTAGGATTGCCTAACCTTCTTTCCGAGGAGTGGCTGGTGGGTTTGAACCGCCGGCCTTCTGGTTAACAGTCAAGTGCCTCAGGCACTGCACTACCAGAGCTCCTTTACCTTCTATAGTACTGGGTATTGTTTATAGCTGATGTACAAGTATGTCATTCTGACTGATTAATATGGAATTTGAAATAGTCATTTCTATAAAATCTGGGCATCTAAACTCTGGTCAGAAATGGAACACCCTATGGTAACACTCTATGTCAAAATCTGATTCTATTACTTCAATTTGCAACACTTTATCCACAAAGATAGGGTGCAAGTTTGAGACTGTCAGCACTTGGAAATACTAGATTCCTAGAATAGGGACATTGAGAGAAATCCTGGAGATCCTCATTGTTTTACAAATTTGGAAGCTCAGATACAGACTAACTCAAGGTCACTTGGTTTGCCAGGCGGCTGTGGAACTCAGGTCATGTCCTGTTCGCTGCTCTGGGGTATAACGGAGCCTGCCCAAGAGCAGGTGAAGATCCACGATGCTGGCAGTTTCAAAGAGTAAATCAGATTTTCTATTCTTACATTATAACAGGAATAATTAATATTGAGAACTAGTGTCAGTAAGTACTCAAATGTAGTTTATGATTTTTACTTTATAAATTGGAGTGATGTTCAACTATAAACTTTACAAGAAATGGGCCCAAAACTTCCAGTCAAACACCACACACACATCAGCATTATGCTTTTTTGAAACTCCAATTACTGTAACGTTAACAAGAAGGAGGGGGGCGAACTACATTAAACTCCTGCTTACATGTGACTCTATCATGAATGAAATAATCAATTAGATGACTTTCTAAAACAAATATTCTTGGAAGTCCATTTTGGGGTGTTGTGACTTCATTCTCAAGGATGCCAGTAACACAAGGGCTTCATCCATAACTCCTTGAAAAAAACTGAAACCATGTACGCCTTGTCAAATTCAGACAGTTTATCTTGGCACTGGCAAGTGTAGCAGTCTCTTCGATGTCTGGAAACGTGTCTAATTACGCTTAGAGAGTAACTAAAAAATAGCCAGTGTCCCGGAACACACAGCCCAGGCACCACCACTCCACAGCATCCCGAATGACTCGATGAAACCACACCAGGAAAAAAAAAAAGAAAGAAAGAACAGAAAATGGAAGAAAAGCAAGTGTGCAAATGTGAAAGCAGGATGAAACGCTAGCCTCTCTCCGAAACCACCCTCCACCCCAAGTCTTCCCAGGGCATTCGGGGCCGTCACGACTCTCCTAAAGTTTTTATTTTCCTTTGCTTTTTATTTCCATTAGGTCACTGGGCTCTCTAGCGGAGCTGTGGAAATGGGCCCGCCCACATCACTTACCTGGAGCAGGGCAGCCTGGCGCTCCCTCCAGCTCGCCGCCCCCCTTAGAGCGCCAATCGGGAGAGCCCCCTAGGAGCGCTACTTCTCGGTAAAGCGTAGCCGTCGAGCTCAGCACGCCCCCGACACCCTCAATTCAGCCGCACCTGAGGGACGCCCCCTCTTGGGAAAGCACAGCTTTCAAGTTCGGCGCACCCCACCCGATACCCCCAATCCGGTGGCACCACAGGGGCGCCTCTTCTTGGAAAGCGCAACCACTGCGCGCGGTCGTTCAGCCCTCACCTGAGCCTGAGGTTGTTCATGAACTCCGGCATGGAGACCGTGTCCATTAACACGAAGTCCGCCTTGCCGAACTCCAGGCTCTCCTGCTCCGCCATGGCGCCAGCGGACGGGTTCAGGTGGGCGCGGACCAACTCAGGTGGGCGCGCTCCTGCCGCGCCTCAGGGTACGGGGTGGGGGCGCCGCGCTCCGATCGGCGGATCCGGGCCGGACAGAGGCCGCCTTGCAGCTCCTCGGCGCGCTTTGGCCGGCGCGGCTTGGAGTGGGGCACACCCGGCAGTTTCCGCTTCTCCCGCGGCGGCTGCCGGGCTCTGTGGGGGACGGGACACCGAGACAGAGACAGCGGCGGCTGGTCCCGCCCCTGGCCTTGGTCTCAGTCCCGTCCCGGCCGCCCGCCCCGCCCTGACCCAGCCGGGCCTCTCTGGCTCCGCCCCGCCCCGCCGGCTGAGGATCCCGCCCCTCGGCGGCCAGGCCACAGCCTCCTCACCTGGGCGGCGCGCACGCGCGGGACAGGAGGCGGGGGCGCGCGCTGGGCCTTGGCCATGGCGGCTGGGCCGCAGCGCCCCCTAGGGACGGGCTCTGGAATCTTGAGGGAAGAACCAGTAGCTGGGGACATAAGAAACCAAAAACCAAACACATTGCTGTGGAGTCAGATCCGACTCATAGCGACCCTTCCTTGGGTTTCCGAGGCGGTATCACTAGGGAAATAGATTGCCCAACCTTTCTTCCGAGGAGTGGCTGGTGGGTTTGAACCGCCAGCCTTCTGATAAGCAGTTAAATGCCAGAATAGAGTGGGTGAAATCAAATTTCCAAGAAACAAAAGAAAAGTAGTTTGTGGAACTTTTCGCGAAGATAATTCATCATGATTCTGTCACCCTGACGCGAAGGCCACTCCAACCCCTCCGTCCATGTCCTCTCCATCCTTGAAATCTTGGTTCGTGCACAGACCGAGAAGTATTAACAATAGCTAAATTTTGGAGGTACGGAGAGCTTAAGTAGCTTGCCACAAGGCTAGGAAGTGGGGAAGCTGCAGTTTCACCCCATTTGACCGTGAGCCCTAGCTTTTCACCATACGGCCAATGGACTCCCTCCTCTTGACATTCCATGATCCATTTTTCTGTTCCTCTCAGCTGAGCATGCCATCAAACATTGCCTCATATTGTTATTTAAGTTTCTAATGTATGTATGCTTCATCTCTCCAGGAATATTGTAGGCTTCTTGAGCATGCAGCCAAAAGTTCCTGATACCAGTCTGCAGTATGGATTACATCTCAACATAAAGAAAGCAAAAATCCTCACAACTGGACCAGTAACCAGCTTTAAGATAAATGAAGGAAAGACTGAAGTTGTCAAATATTTTATATTATTTGGTTCCACAATCAACACCAATGGAAGCAACAGCCAAGAAATCAGACAATGTATTGCACTGGGCAAATCTGCTGCAAAAGACCTCTTTAAAGTGCTGAAGAACAAAGATGTCTCTTTGAAGATTAAGGTACACTTGCCCCAAGCCATGGCATTTTCAATCACCTCATATGCCTGTGAAAGCTGGACAATGAATAAGGAAGACTGAAGAAGAGTTGATGCTTCTGAGTTGTGGTGTTGGAACACTGAAAGTACCATGGACTGCTAGAAGAACTAACAAATCTGTCCTGGACAAAGTGCAACAGGAATGCTCCTTGGAAGCAAGAATGGCCAGACTTCATCTCACTTACTTTGGTCATGTTGTCAGAAGGGAGCAATCCCTGGAGAAGGATATCATGCTTGGTAAAGTGGAGCGTCAACAAAAAAAGGGGAAGACCCTCAATAGAGTAGATTGACATAGAGACTGCAATGATGGACTCAGGTATAGCAAGAATTCTGAGGCTAGCCAGGACCAGTGTTTCATTCTGTTGTACATAAAGTTGCTATGAGTTTTGAGCCAACTCAAAAGCACCTAACAATAACAACACATGGAGATATGAATTCAATGGAATAAATGGTCTCCAACTTATAGACAGACTGAGGTTTGAAAATTTTCTGGGAACTTAGAATGCACTTTCTCTATGGAACCATATTATAAATAGCTTTCTAAGTCCAGTGCACCTCTGCAGTCCCATGTCTCCGTTACGACAATCTTCTGTTGCAAAATCTACTAAGAAGTCTAGAGGCCCCTAAAGATCTGGCTGAGCTTCAACTCTATGTCTAATTTTGAGATGACTAAACTAGACAGAGGAACTCTGGTAGCGTAGTGCCTAAGGCACTTGACTGCTAATCAGAAGGCTGGCAGTTCAAACCCACCAGCCACTCCTCAGAAGGAAGATGGGGCAATCTACTTCCGTAGTGGTACTTCCTCGGCAACCCAAGGAGGGGTCGCTATGAGTTGGGTCCAACTCAATGGCACATAACAACAACAGCAACAACAAACTAGACAGAAGGACTCTGCTTCAGCTGCCAACAACCCATGCTGGCTGAGAGAGAGGAAGGTGGACTGATCACCTGTGGTGGTCCCATCCCTACCAGTAGCATCCCTACCAACAGAAAGTGCCACAACCCACAGCGCAGGCAGGGGTGAATAGCTGCAAAGTATATGGCCTACATTAGTAGCTCTTCTTATTCAGAAGACACGACCTGTTTAGACAGTGTTCTCATCTGTGGAGTAAGAGCTCTGTGGAATAAGACACTCTCCAAGGTAGGACAGTCATATGCCTGGGTAATTTGTGTGGGTCAGTCAGTGCTAAGCAGGTGACTACACAGAGTGTGGCTAGATTCCTAGAGATGTTTCTGTTTTTTTAAAAAAATTATTGTGAGTGCAATTTTACAAACCAGATCCAATTTACATTCAACAGTTCATATACATTTTGTGGCACTGATTACACTCCCCACAATGTAACAGTTCTTCTCCTACCTCCTCCCAGTGGTCACCCCTTCCATTTCACTGTGTCCTTCTTACCTATGCATTCCTGACTGCCTAACTTTCTCCCTGTACAAATGCTGACTTTCTGATTTCCCATAGATGACTGTTCCAAGAAGTGCATCTCCCTGTTATAGTTGTTTGGCTTGTAGGGCCATCTCTTGTTTAGCTGAGAACTAGCCATGGGAATGAGTCTAGTTCCAGGCCCAAAAGATGATTCAGGTCCATAGACTTGGAGGTTTCATCAGTCTCTATCTGACTGATAATCCTGGTCTTTTTATGTTTATGTATTTTGTTCCACATTTTTTTTCTCCCATTCCATCCAAGATCTCCAATTTTGATCCCTTTCCAAGTGGTTCGCATTGGTAGCCAGACACCATCTAATTCTCGTCTCAGGTTCTTGTAGCTGAAATTCCCATGGTTCATTGGTCCCTTACTGAATGATTCAGGAAGTATCAAAAGAAGATGGAAGGAATACACAGGGTCACTGTACCAAAAATAATTGGTCGATGTTCATCCATTTCAAGAGGTGGCATATGATCAAGAACCAATGGTATTGAAGGAACAAGTCAAAGCTGCACTGAAGTAATTGGCAAAGAACAAGGCTCCATGAATTGAAGGAATACCCATTGAGATGTTTCAACAAACTGATGCCTTGCTGGAGGCACTTGGTTATGCCAAGAGATTTGTAAGACAGCTACTTGGGCAACTAACTGGAAGAAATCCATATCTGTACCCACTCCAAAGAAAGGTGATCCCACAGAATGTGTAAATCATCAAACAATATCATTAATATCACATGCAAGTGAAATCTTACTGAAGATAATTCAAAAACGGTTGCAGCACTATATTGACAGGGAGCTTCCAGAAGTGCAAGCTAGATTTAGAAGAGGACGTGGAACAAGGGATATCATTGCTGATGTCAGATGGATCTTAGCTGAAAGCAAAGAATACCAGAAAGATGTTTACTTATCTTTTATTGACTATGCAAAAGCGTTCAATTGTGTGGATCATAACAAGCTATGGATAACATTGAGAAGAATGGGGATTCCAGAATAATTGATTGTATTCATGAGGAACCTATACCTAGATCAGGAGGCTGTCATTCAAACAGGACAAGGGGCTACTGCATGGTTCAAAATCAAGAAGGGAGTGTGTTGAGGTTGTATCCTTTCACCATACTTATTCAACTTGTATGTTGAACAAATAATCTGAGAAATTGGATTACATGAAGAACATGGTATCAGGATTGGAGGAAGACTCATTAACAACCTGCAATATGCAGATGATGCAAATTTGTTTGCTGAAAATGAGGATGACCTGAAGCACTTAGTGATGAAGATTAAAGACTACAATCTGCAGAATGGATTATACCTCAGTATAAAGAAAACAAAAATCCTCACAACTGGTCCAATAAACAGCTTCACAGTGGATGGAGAAAAGATTCAAGTTGTCAAGGATTTCATATTACTTGGTTCTGCAGTGAACACCAATGGAAGCAGCAGTCAAGACATTAGATGACATATTGCATTGGGAAAATCTGCTGCAAAAGTCCTTTTTCAAGTGATGAAGAGCAAAGATGTCTCCTTGAAGACTAAGGGGTACCTAACCCAAGCCATGGTGTTTTCAGTTGCCTCTTATGCATGTGAGAGTTGGACAATGAATAAGGAAGACCAAAGAAAAGTTGATATTTTTGAGTTGTGTTATTGGAGAAGAATGCTAAGAGTACCATGGTCTGCTAAAAGGACTGAAAAATATGTCCTGGAAAAAGTGCAGCTGGAATGCTCCTTGGAAGTGAGAATGGCCAGACTTTGTCTCACCTACTTTGGTCACGTTGTCAGAAGGAACCATTCCCTGGAGAAGGATATCATGTTTGGTAGAGTGGAGGGTCAATGAATAGGGGGAAGGCCCTCAATGACGTGGCTAGACATAGTGGCTCCAGTGATGGGCTCAGGTACAGCAAGGATTGTGAGGCTGGCACAAGACCAGCCAGTGTTTCGTTCTGCTGTGCATAGGGTTGCTACGAGTCAGAGACAACTCAACGACACTTAACAACAACAACAACATTTGTCCCTTGGACTAACTGTTCCTATACATCTTTGATTTTCTTCATTCTTCTTTGCTCCAGACAAGAAGAAACCACTAGTTGCATCTCATAGGGTCACTTGCAAGCTTTTAAGACTCCAGGCACCACTCACCAAAGTGGGATGTAAAACAACGTTTTTGTGTACTGTATTGTCCCCTGCGACCATGATCCTGAGCCTGCAGGCCCAGCAACTCACTCCCCCAAGGTCCCCAGTTGTAGCTAAGAAGTTACCCCAACCCTGTATATATATAATATATATGGACATTTTTATAGCACATACAAATATGTATGTGCAATATTGTCTGCCAAACCTATGTATGGTTATGGGTATATTCCTGTTTGCATACCCATTTCTGTTCTTCTTCCTTGTCTACCTATGTATACACCTGTAGATTAGTGTGCATTACTGATAATGGAGTGTTATGTATGTAATAGTATTTTGTTGTCTGTACCTCTTATGCACCTTCTGTGTCTTCCTTTTCCTTCATGATATTGTGCTAGTCACACACTTTTTTTTTATGTTGCCTTTCTCTCTACTCAAGTCAACATATGTCTCTTAACTGGGAATTTTCTCTCCCCTCCCCTGACATCCTTGGTAACGAAAAAAGCAAATTTCCTTCTCTATGTA